TCAACTTGTATGCATCTTCATCCAAAGCATTCAACAATATTGCCTTTTTCTTATCATCAGCAATATCATTTACTTGGAAATAATTATCAAGTCTAAGCTTGTAAATTACCCAATCGCTATCTTGAGCACTGAATTCCCGTACTTGTCGATAATATGATGGATTTCGATTTGTTTGTGAATCTGGCATTTTCGCGAGCCAAACTATTCAGTTGGTCTAACTGAACACTGGGTTCTAACACTTTTTATGAAGTGTTAACACTCCTCGTCGCCACTTCTGTTATATATTGGGAATGACTGGGTGAAATTATTCAATTGCAAGTAAAATATCAAGGTCCTTTATTCCCTCAAAACGTTTCCAATAGACTGCGAACATACAATATAAAAACAAAGGTAGCAACATAAAAATCATTGGTATTTCTTACTGAAATAAATAATATGGATATACATGTAGAACATTCCATGAACTAACATATCACTTAAAATAGGGTGCACCCACCATTCACGGTTTCTTTCGCTTGTTTTCTTCATATTTCTTCTTCGTGCAATGATAATTGCAATATAAGCTTTCCTCGATAACATTCTTCAATACTTTCAATGCAACCCGTCAAAATATTATATGTATACATCAACAACTGTTCAGACTTTTCAGTTGGTGGTCTGCGCACCCGCACCGAACCGAACAGTTTTGTTTGAGTAGTGTGCCCCCACCCAACCCAACCAGACTAAACTAACTTGTCTTCCTCCAACTTCAGCGGCTGCTCATCAACATCTTATACGGGTATATTACCAAATTCAAATGTGACTTGGCTATCAGCTAGACTCAAAAGACTGGGGTTGGAAGTTGGTCGATAATATATTACAATCGGTTCAGACTTTACTCCCACCTGCGCCGGAAATACTGATTAACACAATTTTTTTCCACTGTAAAAAGAGTAAGCGATAAGCGTGTTTGCAAAAAAGTTGGACTGTTTTGTTTTCTAGCATGTACAAATTGTCAAGACCGATCGTGATTCGATGTTGAATCACCAACATTTGAGGAGACTTGCGATGTATCGCTATGGAGGCAATTTACTTGTACCCAGGATTGAGAAGAAGATCAAGGAGAAGAAAAATAACAAGAAGAAGGTGAAGGAGAAGTATTAGGGAGGTATGAATCCGATGAATGAATTTCCTTTTTTTTAATTTACACCACTTTTATCATTTTCAACCCTAGCCAATATCTCTTATTATTTAATAGTTTCAAGTTGAACAAAATCACAACAGATCCGTGGAATAGGCCTGCCGGNGAAAGTTTGTAAAGGATATCATGAAAGGAAAGTTTCTTGAACCACATAATAGTTTCTTTTCACCAGCTGCGATATGTCACCTTATCAACTTGAATAAGAAAAAAATGTGACCCGATGAGATACTAATAATATGTTGAAGAAACTGCAGATAACATTTCAATCTTGGAGGAAACTTCCTTAGCAAGAGAGCCTTTACTCAATAGAAGTGTGGATACTTTTGATCAAGATAGAAAGTTTTCATTTACAGAATTTTCAAAAATATTTCCAAAAATATACACTGATTTTCAACACCCCTTTTCTCCGAAACTCAAGCTTTCCTAGGAACTTTTGTCATTGAATTGTATTTTTTTAGTCAATTTGAAGGAAATGAGGACGCTTTTTTATCATTATAATCACACGCTGAAACTATTAAAAAATATCCTGTTTCAAAGTATTGAATTAGCGATTCCGTAAAATCCTTCAGCCATGGCTGGTCAATAAAAAACGGAAATATTTTCCAACTGCTTGATTTTGTCTGATAAAAGTATATCACTGTTCTATTTTTTCAGGAGAGCAGCCCAATGAATCGTATCGAAAAAAATACACTGCCGGAACATCTGAAGTAACTCCGGGCCTCGTGAAATGAAATAGCGGAACTTAAAAAATGGATAATCGCCATATAAAATTCAAAAACGTCATCAGGACTTTCTGTGGCTACTTCATTAAAATAAAATTCAAAAGTGGACAACGTCTGTCGTTTACAGAAATTTGTGTTCTTGTGTTATTTTTTTTGTTAGGTTTAAGTGTTAATAGTAGTGAGTGCAATAGGCCACCGAGATTTATCACAGATGGTCAGACAGAAATAGTTTTAAGACTGAAGGAAGGAGCTGAAACACCTGTAGGTAAGTATGACACTGAAACTCGCATCTTACTTTATAGTTAATAGAAGATTCATAACGCTTTTTATTGAAAATGTTCATATGTTGAATTTTTGTGCCACATTTGCATTCTGATATGACAATTCGATGTTATTATTCCATCAACCGGAATTATATTTATATGCAAGCTATTTTAACATTTTGATACTTGTTTTGTTACCATTATTTTATATTTTCGTTTTGAAAGATAACTGACGAAAATAAATTTTATTTGAGACGCGTTTTGCTATACGGTAGCTTCATCAGTTGAACTGGTACATCAAACTATTTACCAATGTCTTTTATATAATAATAGGTAATTATAGAACTCAATTAGATACATGATTATTTCTGGTAAAACGGGTAGAACCTGGAAAAACAATTACAATACCATATCATTTTTGTACAACTATGTGATCAGGTGGCAGTGAAGCATAGCCTAGAAAAATATTTTTACACTCCTATCTAAATTGATATTTTTACGGTCAGACAGGTGTTGGACCGCGGGGCCCCTCGAGTCGCGGGGCCTGTAGCATTTCCTTCTCTTGCTACGTGGTTATTCCAGCACTGCTTGATGAAGACACATTCTGTTTAAAAAATCTGTTTACAATCTTAATCAGATGTCGCCCCCATACGAACGACAACATTAGATTAGGTATTTAAGTAACACTTCATCATGAGACTTTTACAGGCTTAAAACATCTACACGTGTTTTGCTAAATAATATAGTCAGTGCCGGATTTATGAGGGGCTCCCAGGAGAGGGGGTCCCAGAATAAATATAAAAAAATATCCAAATTTTGACAGGTCACCAATTTTTACGTTTTCACCGCTTTCCTTTTTTTTCCTCCACACCTTCGTTGTCCCAGGGCCTCCAGGGCCATCATTTCACATCAGAATAAAAAAGATCGTCATCTGGATGGACTGCACGTGATGAACCGGCTCCAAAGCGTACAAAGACGCAACAGTCAGCTGGCAATGTACATTGTCAAAAATCAATGAGAACGATGGTAAAATTACATGAATTGAGCTCAGGATTGTTTCCGCATCCACCGTATTCTCCAGATCTGAATCCCAGCGACTTTTTCCAGATCTCAAGAGAATGCTCGCTGGAAAGAAATGTAGCGCCGATGAAAAGGTAAACATCGAAACTGAGGCCTATTTTGAGGCTAAAGACAAATCTTACTATAAAAATGGAATCGAACAATTGTATGGCCGCTATAATCATTGTCTCTCCCTCAAAGGCAACTATTTAATACTGAAATTATAGTGTTTGCGCTAGATTACTTTCTTGAATTATCCCAGAAGAAATAATAAATAATTGTGATAATATTATTTTACTCAGTATTTCAATGTGTGATGACTAAGTGAGGAAGCTGACAATACTTAATCCTATCAATTTTATACCAGGGCTACTAGAGATAGTCAGATGTGTTTTATTTCCATTTAGTTTAAAATGATTTGAGTTGCACCATTTTTTGCATCTGATGTTATCTTTTCGATGTCGGAGTTCAGATCTACTACTTATTTTCTTACCCGAACTGATTGGAGTCGTGTTATCAGTAAACAAAATAGTTTTTTAGGGATGAAAGTAATAAAATAGATGGTTGATATAAATAATAAAAAAAAGTGGTTCCAATAGTGACCCTTGTGGAACTCCATGTCTTATAGGTTTCGTGGTAGAAAGTTCATCACCAGCCGAAACGGATTGTTTCCTATATGTGGATGTAACCAACTACAGCTGGGAGACTTTGTAACTTTTGAGTAGAATAACAGTTTCGATGACAGTATCAGTCAACGCATGAGCAACGAACACCCTAATTTTTAATGCTGGACTTGGGTTTACAATCATTGTATGCCAGTCGGTAGCCGGTCGGTTCGACGTGGGTGCTCTGTTCACTCACTCAAATCGACCGCCGTGTTGTTCGGTGGTTCGAACACCAGGCTGAACGATCAATTTTCACTTGCTATCGCCCAACCCGTGTTAGAAATCACACGTTAAAAGGTAAAACCTCGTTAGTCCTTAGCTCGCACAAGTTTAGGGTTCTGAGGGTTGTCGTTCCTAGGGATGCGACAGCTGGTTAACGCAAAAACAGATTTGAAACAAATTTAAGAGGTTTTTCAAAAAATTTGTACATCACCACTCTTAAACCAACCCGAACACAAATTTGATATGAAAAACATAATCTCCAATGGATGATTCTAACCGTAAAAGCACAGTCATCGTTCAAACAAAATGTTAACTTTCCAAATTTTATTTCCAGTCAAGGTAAATTAAATTGATATGGTACATGCATGGATATTCGCATACAATGGTATCAGACGCACAAAATTTTCTAGTTTGTTGACAATGGAGTAATTCATTGTTTTATTTACATTTTTCCGTCATTATATCAGATTTCATTAAATACCACTCGAGAATATGAAACGTGATATTATTTGGTGCGTGAAAGGAAGGCCACTCTGGTGGATATTTTTCATGAGCGAATTAATTTAATTCTTCATAGTTCTCACCGAAAGAATTTTTTTAGGTTATTTAAATAAAATTACAGAGTAAAAACTTCAACATTTCCCCAAAACATTTGTCGTTTTGAAATATTTTCACTTCGCAAAAAAATGTTTTCAAGAGAAACAGTTTCTAGGATTTTGTATTGCTTTTTTATCTGTATCACTTGCTTCATAACTTTTAGCTAGGGAAGCATCAATAACAAGACCGAAAACATGTTTTACCTTGCCGAAATTTTCAATTGATTTGAATTCATAAGAAAATTAAAGTGAACTTGAATTGAAAAATGATGTGTGACAAAATTTTTGCATATATTTTTAAATACTAGAGATTAGTTTTTGTGAAATATGGGAAACTACCGAAGGGGAAAGGAAAAAAAAGCATTGAAGTTTAAAATAAATTCTTTACAGAGATGTGTTGATCATGCATAGTGGTTACCTGTAGATGAAAACTGAAGGAAAAAGAAGAAGTGCAATGGAAGAACTTCATGAAGCAAGAGAGCCGAATAGATCCCTCTACGAAACCCTTCATCACTTGGAAGGATGGGCCAAATCAACTGACAATTATAAGACAATAAGTATAGCTGAGTCACCAGTCAATCTAATAATAACACTGATGATCTTCAAACATGACTCAACCTCTGACGGAAGCACCAAACTCCTACAAAAGTTCGAAATAGATGAACACTTCAATCTAGCAGACCACTACTATTATAATCTTCATGCAGTCATGCATTGGTCAAAGACGAAACGGGCTGGTTTGAGATTGACGATAGTTGTGTCAATGAGTGTTCTGACGATGTCTTGAATTCATTGGAGCCTCTGGAGACACCCTACATTTTGTTTCATGAAAGAGCGGACATTAGCAAATCAATATTTTCAGATGATGTGGTGCTGCATGTTTTTCCGTGTTTTCCTGCAGCAAATGCGCCACTAGAATCATTGAAGTCGCCCCGGAGCCCTATTTTTTGCTATTGTTTCATAATTTAATGATTTGAATTATAGTATTGATGATATTTGAACAATGTTCACGGACATTTTTCATTTCCTGATGCGTTTCGCTAACACCGTATCTTCTTCGGTACAGAGGCCTATACTATCTCAATGAATACTCATTGAATTTAAACAATACAAGCACCATTGAAATCAGTAAACTTTTGCCAACGTATCACAAGTCAATTAAAACTAATTAGTTAGTTTTAATATGGATTTTCATCAAGTATCGGCCAGTTCTAATCAATTACAAGTCGATTAATTCCGTCAGCATAAAAATTGTGTTCGATGATTCGATGAAGTCGAGAAAGGCTGTTTTTTCTGGTTCTAATTGGCGAAAGTTTTACCGGAGAAAAAGTTATCGAAGATGGTCTGGGAAGTATGGTGGGTGACGGTGATTTGTGAACGGGCGTTATCGTTAAGCAGGACCGAACCTCTTGTGTTGACCATTGTCAACAAAATATCTCATGTTGTCGTAGACTTGTAGAGGATCCACTTTTCAACACACGTTATGTTCCGATCCAAAAAAGGATCGTTTTAGTTGCGCAAAAGCAAAGAAGAATAGATCTCGAAACGAGACGAATCCTGTCGATCGTTCAAATCGTGGAGCACCCACTTTTCGAGATTTTTGACCTTTCCAATACATTTTGAACCATCAAAAACCGCATGGGTGCTGACACCCAGTTCTTCCGCCATCCGACGCTTCGTTCGTGATGGGTCAGTCTCCACCAGGGTCCTCAAATCCTCGTCCTGGATTACTGGAGGTCGACCACTTCGGGGCTCATCTTCGAGGCTATAATTTCCGGAACAAATATTTCGTAAAGCAACGCCGAACAGTGCGTTCATCAACCCTTGCTAAGCCTATTACTACGCCTATTGCACATTTGATAAACATATGTATCGAGAGCGGAGCTTATCCTCATATATTCAAAATAGCTCTAGCAGGAAGGTAAGTAGGTCTAAAGTAAGTGGATCTATTCGACCCTCCACCGCAACCCGCAAGAGTTTATTGTGGCTCACACCTATTCACACTCGGCCAAATAAACCCAGCTTCTTAACGAAGCCGATTAGTTTGTATGGTGAGTGGTCTTTCAGGTCAGATGGTGAGAGTACGGATCTAAAGCCTGTCTCTGTAAGCCAGAGAGCTTCGCTTGAGCCGTTTTCTGTAAAGCCTTCGGCTACCAAGCAATTGCACCATACGTGATCATTGGTCTGACAATCATCATATAAATCCAATGGATTTGTTCAGGACCTAAACCCCAAGTTTTACCACAAATCCTTCGACATGTCCATAGAGACAGTCTGGCTTTGTGTAAAACTTTCTTCAAGTAAGCGTTTCAGGTGAGTTTTTCATCAAGGACAATGCCACACCATTGAGGGAAAGTGGCGTCAGATCTTCCAATTTCCTTCTCTTGGTGAAGAGGATTAACACAGTTTTGCTGGGGTTGACAGACATCTGCTCCCTCATGCACCAACTGTGAACAACGT